ATAAGAGCCTAGTAAAATTGATGTCATAATCAATAGTCGGCCAAATAAGCATCAGGCGTTCAACAGCAGACGTAGGTCTATCGAGCGTTGATGTTTAAAAAGTATTAATAAAATAAGAGAAAATAACTATGTATTTTCACCAATTTTAGATTTCTGTTACTAATTCAAAAATTAATATTTTAATATTAGTAATTAAATTAATATTAAACCCTAATAAAATTAGGTTTTAATATTTTTCTTGTATCTTTTGATATTTTGCTCTGATTTTACTTACGTTCTATGTATTATTGAACTGATCATGGCGCTGGTCTCCGAGACGATCTCTCATTGAAGATATTGTGGATTTTTTTTCGGCATTTTCTTCGCTTTTAAATTCTTGGTAAAGAAAGAATAAAAAAACGAAATTTGTCAATGTGACACGTCATCTCTTCCATTAAACTGACAATCTATTAATTGTGTCTAGTGAGTTACCTTTCGTCATTCAATAAATAATTAGCAAATAATCTAATTATTTATTAATTTCAAAAGCCTCCTGTCAAGAATTTATTTCGCAAAGCATTCTTCTTACATAACATAACATAACATAACATAACATAACATAACATAACATAACATAACATAGTGATGTCGGCGCTGAAGAGTTTCTGATGTGGCCTGTCGCCGATTCTTGTACTTTTCGTGACTTGTTCACAGAAGATCTAAAATCGTGTCATTTGACCGGATATTTTCCAGACTGATAATAGTTTGAATAGCTACTACACTTCCACTGGGTTCGATAAGGTGCTAGGCATTTCTAATCTGAACATATATTTTTCCATAGCTATATCTATTCTGTTCTTGAACGCGTTCTTAATTGGAGCGCCAACGATGTAATCGGGGAGGCTGTTCCACATGTCGGTGATTCGAAGCGAGTAGAAATGTCCTGAATATAGATTTTTTATGGACATAACCTACATTATTTTTAATAATGACGCACGACTGCACAAATGGCTTGATGACATTATGAAGTTCTCATTATGAATGTGAACGACCTTTGAATTATGTACTGTAATTTAAACTATAGGGAGTCAACATTAGATTTTGTTGCAAGAATTCAACAATAGAAGTTACAATGAAAGATCACGGCCAAATTTGTTACGTTGATACTGAAATGTTCATTGCAGGACACTTCCGGATGTCACATCATCGCAAAACTTCGCTAGGTAGCCATCAAATATTTCTACGTCAACAGTATCCATCGCCCGGAGTTGCGCAAGCTGTAATATTAATAATGATATTTAAAAACTTAAAAACTGCAATTTTCAATTTTGAAGGCTAAAAAGCCTCTGGAATCTGGATTGTGGAAGAATTGTTGACCTAAATTCATTTGTGTAAAAAGCTGCGCAAATTTGCTGTTAGAATCAGCAGTCGGCTCAAATATCAGCAGGTATTCTGCGGCACACGTAGGCCTGTCAAGCGCTAATCTCCAAAAAAATGAATTATATGGGAGAGAAAAAACAGAATTTTCAGAAATTCTAGATTTCTGTTACTAATTCCAAAATCCAGGGAAATGAGAGCACATCGACAGCAAGGGTATAAAACAGGTTTATTTATAGCTCGTGTCGCGGGGAGGGGGGCAATTAACTTATTTTCTTTCTGCATTTTCCTTTCCTTTCTTCCTTCATTGGCTTTCTCCAGAATTTTTTAATAATGAGTCCTGCTTATAGATTTTTTATGGTCATTACTTACATTATTTTTAATAATGACACACGAGTGCACAAGTTGCCTGATGTATGACAATATGAAGTTCTCGTTATGAATGCGAACAAACTTTGAATCATGTACTGCAAATTAAAATATAAGAAGAAAAGAAAGCCAACATTAGATTTAAATTCAGGATTAAACATGAGAAGTTACAATGAAAGATCAAGGCCAAGTTTTCTACGTTGAAGCTGAAATGTGTTGAAAGTTCAGAGCAGGACAAATCTAGAAGTCACTTCATCGTAGAACTTCGTTAGTTAGCCAAAAAATTTTTCTTCGTCATCAGTATCCACGGACTTGATTCAACGCAAAAGCTGGCAATTGTACGCCATAAATGTCTGTATCAAAGATAATATTTCTGACGGCTGCAAAGCCGAGAAAGTGATAGATGTGTTAGCCTAGTACAACTAATGATTACCATGTTTAATTGCTGTTTAATCAACAGTTGAACAAAGTTATAGCAGCTTTTCAACAGCAGACGAAGGATATTTGAGCGTTGTTCTCCAAAAAATATGAATCAAATGAGAGAAAATTTTCACCAATTCTAGATTTCTGTTACTAATTCAAAAATTTCCAGGGAAATGAGAGTACATCGACAGCAAGGGTATAAAGCAAGGTTTATTTATAGCTCCCAATATAGTTCTAGCGTAAGCTCGGTCATCCACGGCTGGAGAAAACTGAAGGCATTATCCTACCTTTACCAAGTAATTGTTCTTAGTTCAGTAGATTATTTAAGCATTTCTGACGGGACTTCCAATTTAACAACTCTAACTTCTATCATATAATGCATGAGTAATGCAGTATATATTAAGAATTACTGAAAATAGAACAATAATTAATGGGCATAATATTGTTTTTTCGAATACCACTCCCGAGGAAAATATCAAGAAGTTACCCCTGACTGCAAGAATTTTCTATTGATCAATTCTAGCGGAGACTATCCCAAACTAATCCTCCGCTCCTGACGCTGTCTGTCGGTCTGACCGTTCAAACCTAACAATCCTGTGCTCGGGCTGTGCCATGTACTCGGGGAAGTTAGTTGAAATAAATATTTAAACTTTGTAAAAATATGAAAAGAACAAATATTTATCCATATAATACACATATTCTCATATTCAATAAATATCTGCCAGAGACACCTCATACAGCATCTCCCCCCCACCCCCCGAGCCCATGAGGGGGGCGCTAAGCTCCTCCCGTGTTTAGAATAATTCGGCATGTAACAAATAAAACTCAGGATGTAATGGACGTTTCTTGCAACTCGGTCCGCGATTGTTGTTCAGTGGAAGAAAATCTCTAAGCAAACTTGCAGAGCCGTATGTGTATTGGCGATGTTTGCAATTAGTATCTGATGATTCGATTAGGCGAATCTATGCGTGAAAAGGATGCTATCGCGAGGACGCTAAGGAATTTCGGGCCAAACTTCGTGTTTCAATGCCTGGTCGGAGCGTCGCTGTGGTATTGAACGCGAGGAAATATCCTGCCCTGAAGCTTCAGGTCTGTTGGTCATCAGTGCTGCTTTAATTAAGGTGCTTAATTGTACACGGGGATAGTGCAGGCGGCTAGTAAATCTAGCTAGTGTCGGTCGCTTGTGACTATCCAGCAAGTAAGCCTATACACAAAGAGAGTATAAAGTGCCGCTATCTTCTCGTTCGCGCCCGCCAGTGCGTCGTTAGAAGCCGTCGAGTGAGGTTCGTGAAGATGTATAGTGGGATCACCTTAATCAATTCGAGTCTGTACGTTGTTTTTATAATCTATTCGTCCATGAGGACGACTGAGGCAGTGTCGACATGAATTATGAACTTCGTTATGATAGTTTTAACCTTAACGTTTTTTATAAGAAGCGAGAAAATTGCATTTGAAAGGGTCCTATGATATTGCGGCCACATTGATTCAATTAGGACTCATTAACTACTGACCTCTATGTACGTAAAGACGTTAAATTTTATTTTGAAAATGAATAATTATTATTAACTTTTACCTATTATATTAACCTGATTTACTTAAGAAAATGTATATTATGAGGATATTTTTAGAATTATGAATCCTGAATATAAATTTATTATGGACATTACAGGTCAGCACCTACATTTTTTAGAGGAACCTAATAGCTTTAAGGATCACTTGTGTTTATTACGGTAGAATTTCAATTAAAAAATGGGAATGCAAGCGATGCTGGCACACGAGTGCACAAGTGGCTTGATGTATGGGAACGAACGAACTTTGAATTATGTACTGAAAATTATAATATGCGAAGTAAAGGAAGCCAACATTAGATTTCACTTTGAGAATTTAACATGAGAACTTACAATGGAAGATCAATGCCTTATTATGTACGTTGATGCTAAAATGTGTTGAAATTTAGAGCAGGACAATGCAGGATCTCACATCATCGCAAAACTTCGTCAGTTAGCCATCAAAATTTCTTACATCATCAGTGTCCATGGGCCGGACTCCACGTGCAACAGCTATTTCGTTGTAATGGTTGAAGCTGGGAATCTTCACTATTTATGAAGGCTGAAAAGCCTCTATAGTCTGAAATTATTATTAGCTCTGTACCTCAAGCAGATAAGGAGAGCATGGAACACTCTCTCCTTTATACTCCTATTGAACGCAAAGAAATATCATGCATGCCAATATGGTGCATTCCGTTCTGTATGTCGTCAGGGCCGCAGAATAAATATTTATAATATATTTTTCGCCGGCTTTCTGACATTGTTTTTTTATTATTGCTAAGGTTTTCAATTTTTTCCTGTATCTTTCGATTTTTTGTTTTGATTGCAATTATGTTCTATGTATTTTTGAACTGATATTGGTCTTCGGAGCGATCTCATTAACGATACTGTGGATTTTTTTGCATTTTCTTAGCTTTTAAATTCTTGGTAAACAGAAAAATAAAAGACCAAAATTTGCCCAAGGGACACGTCATCTCTTCGATTAAACTGTTATTAATTGTGTCTAGTGAGGTTCCTTTCGTCATTCAATAAATAATTAGCAAATAACCTAACTATTTATTGATTCCAGAAGTCTGTAGTCAAGAATTTTTTTCGCAGAGCATTCTTCTTATGAATCGCACAGTGAACGTATTATATCACATCTTATTTGGTCCTTGGAATATTGTGTGAACTTGAATAATTTTAGTGAAAGAAACACACAAACATTTCTTGTGTTCGATAAAACATAACAGGATTAAAGGCAAGGCCGTCAACAATTGCCTAATTCCAGGTTATCTCGAGCAACTGGTGACATTTGGCAACGCCATGACGGTGTTGCCATATAGTGGTCCTCAAGAGTTTCTGAAACTGCAGGTGATTTAGAAAGTTTTAATATACGTGCCATCGAAATAAAATATTCATTGTACTACTTAGAATAATGTTTGATTATGATAAAATTTATTATTTTTTCGTTCTGTGAATGTCTAAATGCTGTAAGCATTTTATAAATTCCTTCATGTACAGATTGCATTTCTCAAGAATTCTTGTCTGTAGGGGTTCTTTACATACTTTTGGTTCTACTTTACTTTATTTACTTTTGGTTCTACTTTAAATAACTTTAATTCTATTAAAATTTATTGTTCATTCTTCTGTAATATATATGAAGTCTAAATACTTTGAGCCATATATAAATTCATTTATATACAGGATGCATTTCTCAAGAATTATTGTCTGTAGAACCTTGGCAGGAAGTTGCACTCTCGCCTCTTGAGTCAGTGCGCGTCTAGCAGTTGTGAGGTGAGGTGTTGCGCGGTCGCCCGTCGTGAACTTCCATTCTGTTTTTCTAGCTCTTTGACCTTTCACAGCTCACTGATCGTTGCAGAGCTGTCGATATAACGTAAGTAAGCTCGAATATTGTTAACTTTTGACCTCAGGTTAATAACAACAAGTAGGAAATAATATTTTTTTGTTAAAAATGTCGACAGAAAAATGAAGGGAAAGAACTAGTGCCATATTGGGCGACTCATTTCACCTTGAGACATAAACCCGCTAGTACAGGCTGGCTAACTATCAATATATTATAAGTAATATGATGTTATATATTATTATATAATGATATTATATCTATTGTGATGTAATAAAATTGAAAATAATATAAAACTTGAAAGAAACGGTGAGGTGAGAAGCATATGGAGACTTCTACGCTGCCTAAACACCGATCCTATACCGTCTATATTGCCTGTCATATATAAATATATATATAAATACATATTATATTACCGCCAAGATAAAAGTTATATTACCATCTATATTTTACAATTTTATGGGCTACATATAACCTATAATATATGTATTTTGCTGTACTATATATTATATAGAAATAATATATCATGGCCGTATAACGTTTTAGTTCGCAATTAAAATCTTCTAATTACTACTTACTAATTTCTTTTTATTTATTAATTTATTATTACTTATTAATATTTCCTTATTAATTTATCTACTTACTCATAAAGTAATANAGGGGCCTATATTTCCAAAAAAAGTTAACAGATCGTAAGTTCACAAGCCAATCATTGACGGCCTTTCATGCAAAATCCACCAATCATAGACAAGAAAATAGAGCGTAAGTACTTACGTTCACTTAGCGAGTTTTGAAAGTATGGGCCCAGATAACTATTGCCTCTCAGTGTCCGGCTGGACGTTCAGGCATGAGGTGTTGCACTCCTCCTGCCCTCACCCCTATAATATCACCCCCTCTCCCCCCCAGATGGGCGACTTAGGCCCAGGCGACTACCGCCTCTCAGTGTCCGGCTGGACGTTGACGCGGCCGGAGGTGCAGTTCCGCAACTCGTCCGCGCTGCGTTTCGAGCCCAAGTCGCTGTCGGTGTTCGTGGAGACGGACAAGCCGGTTTACGGGCCCGGGGACCTGGTGCGCTTCAGGGCCGTCATCGTGGGGCCCAGCCTGCGTCCCACCGTCACTGGGGCCATCGACGTCCACGTCGAGGTGAGGGACGCCCGACTGGGCCCACTGCCTTCGTTTACTATGTTCCTTCCTTTACTACTATCAAGCAATTTTATTTTCTAATGTTTAATCTTATATGAAATCTATATTTTTGCTATATATTCGAGTAATTCAAATAATTCTTTATTTACATTATCGTACATCGCGTCATGTTACTCTCCATCACCGTCCACCACCGCTCCACTAAGGCCCCCTCCCAACAAGCCCCCCCTATTACTCCTTCCCAACCAGCCCCCCTCTTAAACCCCTCTCCCCCCGCGATATTGCCATCATGCAGGTGCCCTTTACGACCTCAAGATCCCCTAAGTAACACGTAACCCAAGTACGCATACTAACACCAACCAAAAACCATGCTGCAAGCACCACTTTTGACAGCAACCACGCTAAAGTGCCCGTAACCCCATCCCCTTGATATTCCCATCATGCGTGTCCACTTTAGGACCTTTAAGATACCCCAGGTAACACGTACCCGGAGGACGTTTACGAAGTCCATGCTGCAAGCACCACTTTTGACGGCAACCACTTTACAGTGCCCCCCCCCCTAACGTTGCCCCCTAAACACCCCCCTCTTCCCCCCACAGGACGGGGGCGGTGTTGCCATCCAGCGGTTCCCTCGCGTGTTCACCACACGCGGCGTCTTTGCTGAGGAGGTCCAGCTGAGTCCTGAACCCGTGCTGGGCAACTGGACCATCGTCGTCTCCGTGCTGGGCCAGGTATGTCATTGTGACCCACTTCGATGGGGTTAAAACTCCCGGCACGGCAACTAAACGCGCTGGTACACGGAACAATTTTCTAAAATTTCGGCAAAACTGGGAAGTTGAATTTGCCTGCAAAACTCGACTAATGGATGCGACTAGTCGCCTCGTGTATAAGCACCTTAAGGCCAGGCGACTACCGCCTCGCAGTGTCCGGCTGGACGTCGAGGCATGAGGTGGTGTGTTGCACTCGGCCACTAAAACTTTCGTATGCTGGCCGCCACTATTTACCGGGCTACTGGCCTCGTGTAAAGAGTTACTGGGTCGTTCAGTGGCCAGTAGCCCGGTAAATAGTAGCGAATAAGGTGCTTGTACTCGGGGTTAGAACAAGCACCATATCTCCATAAATATCACCATATCTCCATAAATCTCCATAAATATCACCATATCTCCTCAAATCTCCATAAATATCTCCATAAATATCTCCATAAATCTCCATAACATAAATCTCCATAAATATCTCCATATCTCCATAAATCTCCATAATCCATATCTCCATAAATCGATAGAAGAAAATCGGGGCTAAAAGCAGAAAGTTTTTTTAGCAGAAGAAGACCGCTTAATGAATGAACCGCGGAAATCTAATCCTGAAACCCAGACAATCAGGTGCCATACTTTCAAAACTCGCTAATTGAACGTAAGTACTCATAGCTAGTGGTGCCCAAAGCTGGCAGCAGTACTCCAGAATGGGAAGCCGTTACCCCACCACACTTACGCTCTATTTTCTTGTCTACGATTGGTGGATTTTGCTTGAAAGGCCGTCAATGATTGGCTGATGAACTTACGATCACTTAACTTTTTTTGAAAGTATTGGCCCAGAATATGAAACTAGTATAGTTGGCGTTTTAATGGAATCAACATAGCTTCGAAAAAAAAACAGATTTTATAAGTAATGATGAGGTTATGGTAATATACCCGGTTACATTATCTTTGATATTACTAGTGCAAAAATTGCAGTAAACTTAGAATGACAGCTTTCTCTCTGTACCACACAGGATATTGGATGTAATACATCGAAATTCGTGCTTACCAGTGTTGCCAGATTGTTTAAAAATATATAAAAAAAGTATATAACCCAATATATACTAGTTCATTTGTAGGTTCCGGTGTAAAATTCCGTTTCTCTTTTTTGCAGTTTTCAAAATTTAATTAGGAAGTATCTCTACTATAAATTTTAGCCGGTCAACGCAATCGGAAAAAATAAATTCGCGGAATTTTTTCGGAAAAAAAGTCCGTCTGGCAACCCTGGTTCACATAATGTGTATTTTTAACTTTTATTTGGTTATATTCATGAAATAGGTTAAAAATCTATGCCCCAACATATTTATTATAATTATTATTGTTATTATTATCATTAGCCGAGACTACGACGCTTACTGAAACGTATTATTATTAATAATTTTTAACTTTTATTTGGTTATATTCATCAAATAGGTTAATAATCTATGCTGAAACATATTTATAATATTATTATTATTATTATTACTTTATTATTATCATTACTATTACTATTTTATTGTTATTATTATCAATATTATTATTACTATTATTGTTATCATTATTAATTATAATATTATTATTACTATTACCCCCCAGGAGTACCGCGGGGGGTTCTACGTGGCCCAACTCGTGCCCCCGAAGTTCGAGGTGCTACTGGGGGCCCCCGACCACCTCAGCCTACAGGACCAGCTTACAGTTACTGTAGCTGCCCAGTGAGTTACTGTAACTGTCCAGTGAGTTACTGTAACTGCCCAGTGAGTTACTGTAACTGACAGCTCTGATTTTAACCGAACTTTTGTCGTCCTTATAACCAAAAGTTTAGCTTTTATTGCAGTATGGGCTGAAGTTCCGTTTTCTATGAACTTTCCGGTAAAGAAAATATCGTCATTTCTGTTTTTTTAACTGAATTTTTGACACTCCGAGGCTAGTGTCATCCTATTACCTCGAATATTACTATTAATTACCATAGAATTATCGTATTTTTGACATAATTACCCCTAAGTTACTCATGTACGTTACATTGTGTGATATGATTACCTACCCATTGTTATTACTCTCCCGTATATTACCCTAATTTGTGGTAACTTTTCTCACAGTTACCCCCACGGCCGCCCCATCGTGGGGGAAGTTACCCTGCAAGTTACCCCGCGTTACCAGTACAATTACCTTCAGGCCCCATACGACCAGCCCTACAGCGTAGTTACCCCTATTGAGGGCAAGACAAGTGTTACCCTAGACCTCGTGAAGGACTTGGGGTAAGTTGGCAGGTTTAGGGTAAAAACATGTGAAGCTGATCGAATGATATCCTTGAACTTGTCATGGACTTGGGGTAAAAATTGCTAGGGTAATAATGGACTAGAGGTTTAGGGTAAAAACTGCATATGATGACATGTGTTACCCTAAACTCCAAACCAATTATAATATGATTATATTATTTAATTTAGAAGTAGTTTGAAGTATAATTTGAATTAAGAAGGCATTAATACGCTGAGATTTAATACATTCAAATACTGAATAAATGGAAAAGGTAAGAATGCACCGCTTAAACTTGATTTTTTGAATCCTTATTTTATTTTATTTGTTACAGAACGCCACGCGTGACGTCACCGTCCACCTCTACCCCAACCGCATGACCTTCACCCCCACCTCCCCCACCTTCAAGCCCGGCCTCCCCTACACGGCCTACGTGAGTACCCCCACCTCCCCCACCTTCAAGCCCGGCCTCCCCTACACGGCCTACGTGAGTACCACCACCTCCCCCACCTTCAAGCCCGGCCTCCCCTACACGGCCTATGTCAGTAAAAACCCCTTCCCCCCAGGTTGAGCTTCGTACGTCTGTAGCTTGTGCCGCGCTGCCGACACAGTTCCAGCTGTCGTACGTCTGTAGCTTGTGCCGCGCTGCCGACACAGTTCCAGCTGTCGTACGTCTGTAGCTTGTGCTGCGCTGCCGACACAGTTCAAAGCTGCCGTACGTCTGTAGCTTGTGCTGCGCTGCCGACAGTCCCAGCTGTCGTACGTCTGTAGCTTGTGCAGCGCTGCCAACAGTCCCAGCTGTCGTACGTCTGTAGCTTGTGCAGCGCTGCCAACACAGTTCCACCTGTCGTACGTCTGTAGCTGGTGCAGCGCTGCCGACACAGTTCCAGCTGTCGTACGTCTGTAGCTTGTGCCGCACTGCCGTCAGTCCCAGCTGTCGTACGTCTGTAGCTTGTACTGCGCTGCCTACGCAGTTGCAGCTGTCGTACGTCTGTAGCTTGTGCTGCGCTGTCAACAGTTCCAGCTGCCGTACGTCTGTAGCTTGTGCCGCGCTGCCGACAGTTACAGCTGTCGTACGTCTGTAGCTTGTGCAGCGCTGCCTGCGCAGTTCCAGCTGTTGTACGTCTGTAGCTTGTGCCGCGCTGCCGACAGTTACAGCTGTCGTACGTCTGTAGCTTGTGCCGCGCTGCCGACACAGTTCCAGCTGTCGTACGTCTGTGGCTTGTGCTGCGCTGCCGACACAGTTCAAAGCTGCCGTACGTCTGTAGCTTGTGCTGCGCTGCCGACAGTCCCAGCTGTCGTACGTCTGTAGCTTGTGCAGCGCTGCCAACAGTCCCAGCTGTCGTACGTCTGTAGCTTGTGCAGCGCTGCCAACACAGTTCCACCTGTCGTACGTCTGTAGCTGGTGCAGCGCTGCCGACACAGTTCCAGCTGTCGTACGTCTGTAGCTTGTGCCGCACTGCCGTCAGTCCCAGCTGTCGTACGTCTGTAGCTTGTACTGCGCTGCCTACGCAGTTGCAGCTGTCGTACGTCTGTAGCTTGTGCTGCGCTGTCAACAGTTCCAGCTGCCGTACGTCTGTAGCTTGTGCCGCGCTGCCGACAGTTACAGCTGTCGTACGTCTGTAGCTTGTGCAGCGCTGCCTGCGCAGTTCCAGCTGTTGTACGTCTGTAGCTTGTGCCGCGCTGCCGACAGTTACAGCTGTCGTACGTCTGTAGCTTGTGCCGCGCTGCCGACACAGTTCCAGCTGTCGTACGTCTGTGGCTTGTGCTGCGCTGCCGACACAGTTCCAGCTGTCGTACGTCTGTAGCTTGTGCCGCGCTGCCGACACAGTTCCAGCTGTCGTACGTCTGTGGCTTTGTCTCTTATACACATCT